CTTAACAAACGGTACAACATCGTCTACAAACCCAATTTTTTTTACTAAAACACATTATAATAACAAATCTATCCAACACGTGGATCAATTTCTAGTCTTCCAAATGCCAAAGATTGATTATCACCAAACCATGATGAAAAGTGTGACGTAGGCGTAGCGCTATGTTCTTCTAAAGCTTTTGAAAGTAGTATTTTGTTTATGGAGAGTAAAAATACACTAGTTCAACAAATTAAGAAATTATAGGAGGTTACCGATCTAAATAAAATATGTTTATTTTTAGTAATTTTCGGATAATTCGTGAAAATTCAATCGTAGCTTAACATCTATAATTAATACTTTACGGTATACAGAAACAATTAGAAAGAAAAATGTGCATTGCAATTTTATATTAATTCGGGCCGAGCAAGATATTTCTCCTGCAATTAGAACACGTACATCCCTAACTTATTTTGAGAATTTGCTTTCCCAGAAGTTTTTATAATAATGATTGTTACAGACGACACGATACTAATTTTTTTTTTTTTGGTCACACACGATACTAATCTTAATTATCTATTTTTATATTTTAAATCATGAAGGCTAACGCGTATCGTGTATTCTATTTTGCGAAGCTTCTAAACTCTTTATTCATATCCTAAAGAATCAATGCATTTATAAAATCTCCTTTTAAAATAATTTTAGAAAAAAAAAATATTTACAAGAAAAGCTCTTTAAATATATAAGGTGATATAAGATAAGTCCTTTTCAGAACTCATCAGATCCTCAACACAAAAAAAAATAGCATTATACGAACAGTCTCCCTAAATTATGAGGGGATTTTTTAAAAGCTACAACCACAGTTAGAGCATCCACAATGGAGACATTTTGTAGGTGTCTTTAAATATAAAATTATTAAAAGTTGAATAAAAGGAAGAAAGAGAGTGTTTTTGGTTGAAATAATGGGGTGTATTGAAATATAAAATTAATAAAATTTGAGTAAAGAGATGAGATAGTGGGTATTATTGGAGAGAGAATGTCTCGTGGAAGACAAAGTTGGAGAGAGAATAGATGAAAGTTGGAGTGTGTTTAAATATAAAATTAATAAAAATTGAATAAAAAGATGAAAGAGAATATATAAAGTTGAGTAAAAGGAAGAGAGAGTGTGTTTTTAATATTTTTTTATTTAGAGACATCCACATTTTGTGTGCAATGTGGATGACCTTAATGGTTAAGAAAATAGTGGATTTTTATGGTCAGTAAAATTCAAGTTAAACGTAAAACTAAAAGATGATTTTTGAGAAATGTTAATTTTGAAATACCACTTCTCAAAAATATTTTAATTTTAAAATATTTGCAAAAATGTTACTAGTATGATATTATATACTCAAAAATATCATTTATGTTTGGGTTAAACTATGTTATGTTAGGATTTAGTTTTTGGGGTTTAGGATTTGTTAGAACATCATTAAGGATAATACTCTTAGAGTATCAC